ATGCAACCTCCTAACCTTTGGTTGCTCATCCAAATGAGAGTTTCATAGGTAGAGTGCTTGACTTTTGAATCACTAACAGAAAATAATGCACAGTGTCCCTCAGGATATGCTAAACAAGGTTTTTACAAGTATTTTATTTGACAGCATTTTAGTCTTTTCGACTAGATTACAGTGACACAATGGTGTAGAGGCTATATTTGCCATAACTTATTGGTGGCTCCTGTGTTATATACAGTTTTAAATAATGCTCTAAATCGTTTGTTTTCCCAATGACATCAATAAAATGTTCTGTAGAATTTGTAAAATGTATTGATTGAGTCTGTTAAAAATTGTGCAGTTTTTATTTCATTTGTGGTACAATTTTATAGGTATTAGTTCTAAATGTATATTTGTATGAGTCAAAAGTATGTGCTTGTATGTGGTTTGTGTGTTAATATATTGTATCTTATCAAAAATCAAACTTATCCTAAAGAAAAAGGGCACATTATGACCAGCCTTAACTCATTGCCATTTTTTGTTGTAATTTGGGATAAAAATCTGAAGAGAAATTATGTTTTTGTCTAAAATGGCCTTTGTAAAAAAATCATGTAAGGAATGTGCTTTAGAAATTATCTGAGCTCCCCCAAGCAAATAGTTCAGCTTATGGAGTACCGGAAGCCTCTCAAAAGTTTCAAATGTCAATGTATTTATTCACTTCATTATCATGCAGAAAAGTTAGATTCACATTTGTTTCCATCAGCAACAGAACCAGTGCACTTCAGAAGTTGTTCTTCCAAACACGGAACCATTCCGCTTATGAGGATAAGTCTTCCGTGAAAGATTATTTCTTCAGACATTTGCTTTTTAAACATTGGAATTCTCAGTCAAGATGAACTGCCGAGGCTCTGTGAGAGTCACTAGAGACCCATCAACATTAGGTGGTTCCAACACGGTTCCCTTCTCAAAACACAGGTGTACGACATCCTTTTACACCTTTGTTACCTGCCTGCGTGTAGACTAGCAATAGAAAATGCAGGACTAATTCAAGGATCTGCGTGAGTTGTCATGCTCAGAACAAAAACTTTGTAATCTTCCTGGAGCCTGGTATCTGGGTGTGGAATATTAATCAGTCTTATTTCCTCTCTTTCTCCATCCTCAGTTATTTCTTTTCCATATTTAGTCTTGCCAGATGAAACACAGGACACGCAGTGAAATTCAAATTTCAGATAAACAGTATTTTTTAGTATGAGAATTTCCAAAACATTTCATGAGACATACCAAAAACTTTTCATTGTTTATCTGAAGTTCAAATTTAATGGGATGTGTCCGTTTTTTTTTTCTTTTTTTTTTCTCCTAATCTGGCAACCCTATCCATCCTGCCTCTCTCTTTTTCAATTGGGCTACCTATAAAGGGTGAGATCCTACCTCCCTCCGAACCCCTATGTTAAGATATCTTATGGAAATCTATAGTCCTAATACCCTTCCTGAAGGAAAATGTTGGTCCATGCCAAGTTCCATGAATGCTTTACAAAGGACCAACTCAAATATAGGTGGCATAATCAAGTAGCTCTATAAGATTAATGCCACCACATTCAAAATTTCCCTTCACCCTCCTGTTTCGAGATCTAAACTCTCCCCCACTAATCCCTTAAGTAATATTCCCCAGTAACTAGGACATCCAAAAACACACCACACCTTAAAAATGCCCCTTGAGGGGCACCTGGATGGCTCAGTTGGTTAAGTGTCCCACTTCAGCCCAGGTCATGATCTCATGGTTTGTGGTTTCTAGCCCCTCATCCAGGCTCTGTGCTGACAGCTCGGAGCCTGGAGCCTGCTTTAGATCCTATGTCTCCGTCTCCCTCTGCCCATCCCCCACTCAAGCTCTGTGTCTCTCACATGTAAAAATTAATTAATTAATTAAATTTTTAAAAATGCCCCTGGAAAGTGGTAGCACCTTCCAACTCAATACCAGGACCTCTTTTAAAATTCAATTTCTTTTTTTTCAGAGAGTAACGAACTAATCTATTACTCCCCTCATTACAACCCTACCACAAATTATTTTTATCAGTTTAGAGCTAATCATCTATGAAATTATAGAAAATCTGACATAGAAAGAACTCTTTTGATTGCTAAAAAGAGAGAGAGAAAAAAGTCTGGGATGTAGACACAGTCTCCTCAGGAGACTGGGTTGGGATTGGGCAGGTGATAGAATATGGACCTTGACAATGAACCAGTACCCCACAGGGAGACTTGCCAAAGCAAATTATAACAACCAGCAGTTTTTTGGAGGAAATGAGAACTCAAGACATCCCAGAGTAAGAATAATGAAATCTAAGGCCAGTTTCTAGAACAGTTTGCAGAGAATAGAACTATGTTGGAATTCCTAAAATAGAATTTTCAAATACTCGTGTATCCCACAGTGAATCCGTGACATGATCTAAATGTGGTTGGTGTTTGGGAACAGTTTTGGTACCTACCTCCTCTCTTAACATTCCTATGAATGACAAGAAAATCCAAATTTCTTAATGTAATATTTCCATCTCATGGTCCCTGCTTGTACACATTTGCATTGATTTGCTTCATTTCTAAAGGATGAGAATTTGCAGAGCTGGTGACATTTCCTTCACTAGACCAGAAATTCACCAGAGGGAGACAGATCTGTGCCTTCTCTTTTTAGGATCTGGTCACTGATACTTTAATAAATGTGGTATAAAGAAAATACATACCTACCACTGTTCTGTTTAGCAAATGTGAATCTTTTGGATAAGATTGTTGTTCTTAATGTAAAAAAAGTTTCTTTGTATCCAGTGAAATGCCTAATAAAGTGCTGGTACCAGTTATCTTTATTTATTTATTTTTTTATTTCATAGTCATCAGTGTTGCATTATAAGTCCAAAAGTAGATCTCTTAAGTAGAACATGACTCAGAGCATGAGAAAATATAATTTTTTTAAAAATATGAATCATCGTGTAAGGATTTCCTCTGTGAAAGCATATATTCTCCACCAATAAAGGCAATGCCATGAGTACTGCCATTGCATCAAAGTTAGGTATCTCCAAATCTAATACTCTCAGCCTCTGATATTACCACAAAGAAGACCAATATCAATACAACAAAATTATATTAATTTACTCTTATAAGATACCATTTTGAGGTTAAAAGCTTAGGGTAAATGAAATCTACTTTTGCTGAACGTTCACTATGCCCAATGTGTGAAACACTATTTCAAAAGGGAAATGCCTTTGTATTTCACCAAACAAACCCTATGTATTGGAGTTCAAATCAGCCTTAACACAAAATTTAAGCATTGTAATAGTATTTTAAAGACAACCCAGCAAAACAAAACAAAACGACATGTGGTCCAAGATAATTCTGGGGATTGAACTTGAACGTAAGTGCCCCCCAAAACTCTGCCTATTATATACATTGGTGGGCTCATGACATGAGAGGATTTCTATTTATAAAGCTGTAATGATTTCTACATTTGTGAAACAGTGTGCATTTGCAAATAATACTCCACGTAATCATGTCTTTGTCCTTAACATTGCAATAGTTGATCAGAGCCATTATTCAGTTATTCAGCAAACATTTGCCAAGTACCTGCTGTATGCTAGGCTCCTTGCTAAGCACTACAAACGTTTCTAAAATGTTCCTTAGGAAAAGGGATGATGCACATCTTTGGTACTTCTCAATGGAGCTAACAGGTGGCATCATTTTGTCCTCTAACAAATAAACAAAACCCGAACATACATTTATTCTCAAAGATCTTTTCAAGGTAATATCCCCAGATAGTAAAACTGTTCGAACACAGTTGTTCCTCAAAGCCTAAGAAGAAAAGGACAATTTCTGCAGTAAGCATAATTGGAAATTGGTTGGTCAGGGCCATACATGAACGAAGAGTGGATTTCCCCTCCTCTCTCTGCCACATTCCCTGTCATCATGCGCAGGGCAGTGTGTACAAGCTTGGCTGCCACATTCTAACTGTGGCTCAAAAACAACAAAAACTAGAGGCTCTATCTCTTCTCCTTCCTTTGCTTGCCTCCAGGACTTCAGATGAAATTTTTTCTCACCAGAAGAGGCTGACCGCGTAAAACAAAGCAGCCCCCATAAATTGTCTCTTCCACACAGGGTAAAAATGGTGATACTCCCTAGATCAAAGGAGCGAAAACATCATCTGGAATTGGAGGAAATACTTCTTTTTAAGTAGAAAGACCGTCCTGCAATGGACAGTTTCAGCATTGGCTCTCTCAACATGTGCCTCAACGTAGACAGTGATAAGCCATAATAAAGGCTGCACTGGAATCAAGGGCCAGAAGCAAACCTAAATGTAACTGGCACTTTCTACCATATTCATCCTTCAGTGGATAGAAGTATTTCTGGGACCATCTGGAGCTGGCTATTAAGTAAAGATGAACCACATCAAAACTACATTGAATTCTGGAAAGTGGGATTTAGTACCCTAAGTGACAGGGAGAGAAGAATGCCAATGCCGGCAGTTCCCAAGGAACTCCTTGGCAGAATGCGTATTCTCCCCTCATACTTTTTCCCTCATAGAAATGTGTAAACTTGACCTCCTGGGGTTTTACTGAGAAATGATGAAGAGGAAATCTTTTGCCTCAATACAAGTGCTCAGCTATTATTAAACTGTGCTCTTTCATTTTTGGAGAAAAACGTGTCTGCAGGATGGTTTTTATTTTAGCAATAGGAAAAGGCAAAAATATTAATATAGAACCAATAATCCTTTTCTCATTGGGCTATAGGATTATGAATCTTTGACTTAAACTTCGACAGGAAGAGGCACATCTTAGCAATGTCCGCACTCCCAGGGCATGGCAGTTATTACAACATGTTTGGAAGCAGTGAAATTAAATTGTGACCAGATGTGACCCAATCAAATGGTAGACAAGTGCTTGATGAGGGTCAGGCACATGCTGAGCACTGTTTGGTGGTGATGAGGGTTCAAAAAAGTCCAAGGCAGTATCCTCTACCTCTTTTTTCTCCTTGGAGAAATACTAGAAATATTGGAGGAATTTAGGAGAAAACATACTGCCTAGCGTTCTCTCCAAGGACAGAAAAACCTCTTCTCTTAGCTATAAAGTCAACTGAGTCTTTGCAAAGAATATTTACCCAAGGGAACTGGCTTATGATGCATCTATTTAAAAAGAGCTGAGAAAGGGTGAGGGAGGGGATTACATTTTGAATATCAACAAAATCCCTTCGAAATTTTCCATTCTTCTGCTTGTAGATACAAGTGAGTTTGCATGGATACATTATCTAGAATCCCACAGACTCCTGCTTCTATACAAGACCTCTGCTCACACACCCTTTTGGAAGACTGTTCCCCTCCCCACACTTTCCTGAGTCCCCAGAGGATGTTTCCTGTGTACTTAATAAAAAACTCCACAACTTTCAGCGGCTGGCTGTTGTTATTTCCTCATCTTGATGTTCACTTCAGCCTCCAATATTTGCCTCTTTTCCATGAGGCCCAAGAATCTGCCAGATAGGCACTGCTTGTCTGGTAAAGCCCTCAGGTGCCGAAGGAGTGAGCAATCATGGCTGAATGAAGGTAGGTGTGAAATGTTTCTCCTGCCTTTATGTTACATTCTAATAGAGGGTCTCTAGTACCCTGATAATTACCCAAATTCAAATCTCTCTCTCTTTCTCTCTCTCTCAATCTCCCTCCCTTCTCACCCTACTCCCTCTCTCTGTTATGTATGGGCTTGGGACAGAAATTAATTCCAGAGACAGCCACCATGCTATTCTCAAAGTCATATGCTAGTCTCAAAGTCACTACTCCCCTCTGGGTACCAAGGCTTTCTTCCTGGTCAAATTTATTTTCATGAGTTTGCTTTCTCTCAAATTATTCTAGGAGGTTTCTTGGTTCTTAAACAAATAGGCTTCTGATGGACCCCCCCCCTCCAATTCTGTTATTTAGACCTATTCCCAGATGTATGTACCTTAAAAGAGCCAGCAGCTCTGGCCAGCAGCCATCTCCATACAATGGGCAAATGACAAAATTGGGTAGAGGACTCTAATGTGCAGGTTCCCAGCTTCTGTTTAGGAGTCCTCCTTCCTTTATCCACTACAAATAAAACTTATTTCCTCACAATCTGATGAGCTCGTTCACAAGGAAGTATTAAAAGGACTTAAAGTGATGTTTTTCAATGTTACTTACTTCAAAGAAGCATTTACAGAAAAGTAAAAAGTAAAACTCGCAAAATAATTTATCACAGGATGGCTTTCATAAGGGAAAGGCTAATGGATTCATGTCCCCCTTCCCCACCTGTGACTTATCTTGAGAAGCCCTATGAAAACACCCAGGACTCCCTGTTGCAATTATCAAATTTTATCGTGCATACAATTACCTGAATCTTAAAAAAAATACAGTTTCTGGTTCAGCAAGTCAGAGATGGGGCACCAGCTTTCCTGTATCAGAGTGACTTAGCTCCTGCATGCGAGTAGGATGTCTCATTCTTACTGATAGAATTTCAAATAGTCGTAGTCACTCAAGGGTATTCTTAGGACACTTTAGAGCCATGGTATGTCCTTGGCATTTCCTGTTCACTTTGCCAAGCTGGCTTTATCTCTGCCTGTTATTCCAGTCTGATGAATGGCCAGGCAGATTTTACTTTCTCAGTCCAAGATAATTTTTACCTTCTCAGTTTGTGATGGAAATAGAACTCTAATTTAAGCCCCCCAAAAGAAGGGGCTATTTTTCAGCCTAATCAAAACTGAAACAGAAGCAATTTGGGGATCACTGGACCTGGGATCTCACACAGTATCATGAGGGCTTGAATTTTCTCCTTCTTTCAGTTTTACTTTCCTCTGCATTGAATATATTTAAGGAGGGTTTTCCACATTGAGTCAAGATGACCAAACAGCACTTCTTTTTCCCAGTAATTTCAACCAAAAAAGCAGAATTGAGTCTGACTGGTCTGAGTTGGGACTGAAGTCAATTTCCCAATCAAGCACCACACAAATGAGAATGGAGTGAGATGGGAGATGGTCGCGTACAAGGAAAATCAAATCTCTGCTAGGTGTGAGAAGGTGCTCCTGTCTGGCACAAATATGGATGTCCTCTAGCAACGTTTTCCCATCACCTCTGAAAATCATGCCCTGTGTCGGAGCACTGCCTTTACTCATCGGCTTGGCCTTGATTGCTTTGAGTTCAGCTCAGAGTCCCCGGAGGAGATATGAAAGTCAAAACTAACATCAAGAAGATTTTTTTTAACATCAAGAAGATTTTTAACTTTTATGTTTTGGAGGCGTTTTTTTTCCACTTTTTTATTTTAAATGATTTCAAACTTACAGAAAAGTTGCAAAAATATTAGAGAAAACTTCCGCATATACTTTCCTTGGAGTCATTTTTAATTTTTTTTAATGTTAGGCTCTTCTCATCTGGGAAATAGTGTGTTTTAAAGCATTATTCAAATTCCAGAAGCAATTAGGATGTCAGTACTGAAAACTTTAAAAATCTATATCCCTGAAGCCATTCATATAATAAAGTAGGTCTTCATTCAAAATGCACAATATACTAAAGCACCACGGAGAATATAAAGATTAAGTCGGTGGCTCATATAAAAAGAGGAGAAAGGAAAATCCCTAAGATATATAAAATATGAGAGGATACTATGTGTGCTGTTTAGTCCAAATAAGATGCAAGTTAGATTTCATGCTGTGGAGAAGTGACAGGCAATTCTGAGCAAGACCATTTCCAGAAGAAGGTAATATAGTGAAATTAATGGTTTTATAATGGGAGAAATTATAGCCTTGGTAGCACCAAATCATTTTTCCCTAATCAACACTAATCGCAGGAGGTCCAAAAGTCATCAGCTCAGTCCTTGGGGTCACTCTTCAAATCATGGGATGAACAGAATCTACCTGATATCTGAGATAAAGCATTTCTGAAATAAGGAAGTGAATGAAGGAGAGTGTACGGTGTGTATCTGTGAGTGTATGTGTGTCTGTGTTAATGTTTGGAGCTCGATAGGATTTTCTGCAGGATTTCTTCTTCAAAGTTACTTATTAATAAATGAATTAAAAACTTATTAGATGTCTCCATCTAATAAGATTCCTCACAAGGCCACATTTCCAAATTTGGGCTGCCATTTCAGCAGCTACAATTTCTTATGATGCCGCAAAAAGAAAAAGGCCTCCCAAATAAGAACTATTAGATAAAAACACGTTTTTAAACTAACAGTGGAAATATAAAAAGATGACTAGCAGCCATGGGGACATGAATGATTTTTGTGTTATTTACCAGTGAATCCCCAATACCAAGCAAAATAACTGTGTATTTATTTCCCAGAGCTACTATAACAAACTGGGTGGCTTAAAACAACAAATTTATTCTCTCACTGTTCTGGAGACTGTAAGGTGTTGACACATTTGGTTGGTTATTGCTAGGAGATCTAGGGAGGGAAAACCATCCTCTGCTTCTCTCCTAACTTCTAGTGGTTGTAGGAAACCCTGACATTCTTTGGCTTATGGATGAGTCACTTTGCCTCCATCATCACACTGCCTTGTCTTCCATGCTTATGCCTATGTCCTCTCCTCTTCTTACAAGGACACCGCTCATCGCATTTAGGGACCACCTTAATCCAGTATGACTTCATTTGAACTAATTACATCTGCAAAGACCCTATTTCCAAAGTAGATCACATCTGAGATTCTGGCAGACACTCTCCAACCTACCACCAATTAGTACATTTCTTAAAGAAATGCTGGAATAACCACAGTGTGTTAAGAAATAATATCAGTGTATCATCCATCTGCCTTCTGATAAATTCCCCTATAGTTCAATGGGTGGGCAAGCTGTTCAGTAAATTTAAACCAAAACAGTGTCAAATTAAATTCAAATCTCTAGTGTGTAAAAACCCACTTGGAACTTCTTTTCTTATAGACTGACAATATAAAAAAGCCTGGACACCATAAACAACATTCTCACATTGTTACTATATAACTCTGAAAAATAATGTTCTAACATACTCTGCTCAAATAATGTGTTTTTTTTCCTACAACCTCTCCCCTGTTACATATCTCTGTAGATGTCTTCTCAAGGAGAATGACTACATGATTAATAATCCTTTTATCCTTTTTTTTTATTTGCCATTTTTGGTTGCACTTCAAGAGGTATAATAAATTTGTGTTAACAAGTTTACAGAACAGCATCTAGATAGAACAGATTTGTTGTCTCGTGGTTCCATTTAGATAGTAATAAACTCTGGTGTTTCCATGAGGAGCAAACAAGGAAACAGAAACTGCATAGTCATTTGAACAGGGAAAAATTAACATAACTAAAATTGGAGATTGAAGTGATAGAGTATTGCCTAGCATTCAGTAAGGAGAACCAGAACTCTAAAGAGTATAGAAATAGCAGAAACAAGAAGCACCCTCAGACTCTAGATGTGAGATAGAACATCCAAAAAAAGAGGTCCTCTCAGAGTGAAATCATATCTAATTGGGCACTGCTGTGTCACTGGAACTTAATGGCAATCTGCCCTCTGGAGAAAGCCATCCAGAGGGAGATGTTATGCCTCAGAACTCATTGCATATTGCTCAAGTGGGTGCAGAAGAAACCACAGACAGGGGTCTGCTCCACCAGAGTCTCTGCTGCAGAGCCATTCCTAGGGAAAGCTGCTGGCCAATGGGTGTTTCTGAGCATCGTGCACTGAAGGAACACAATGCCAGAGAAGCCATATGCTGTAGGAACCCAACATTAGAACAATCATTTGGCAGGAGGCTGGCAAGAGATACAAACTGAGACCAGGAAGGCAATAATACGTCCCTCCTTCAGGTCCTGTGATATTTTGACTGATAAGAAATATATACAGTATTTGGTTTTCATCCACAATTCTTGGCTCACAGCTCCCAAAACCTTGAAATTTCCTAAGTGTTGATAAAGGTGTCTTTTCTTATGTTAATGTGGTGACTTTTGGATTCCCACTTAGGAATGGGGGCTGTTTGCCAATGAAGCCAATCACATGATTAGAGGGTTAGAACTTTCAATCCCATTCCCAGAAACTCCAGGGAGGAGAGAAGGACCAGAGGTTGAATCAGTCACCAATGGCCAACAATTTAATCAATTGTGCCTATGTAATGAAGCCTCCAGCTTGGAGAGAGTATGGAAGCTCCTGTGCCTTTTCCCCATGGCTTACCTTATGCACCTCTTCCATCTAGCTGTTCCTGAGTTATGTCCTTTTATAATAAACAGTAATCTAGTAAAAATGTTTTTCTGAGTTCTGTGGGTGGCTGTAGCAAATGAATTGAACCCAAGAATGGGGTGTTGAGAACCTCTGGTTTGTAGCCAGTGGACAGTACAGGTAATAATATGAACGTCCTCGGAGTATGGAGGACGACAATCTTTGTAAGATTGAACCTTCAACCTGTGGAACCTGATGCTATTTCTAGGTAGTGTCATAATTGAGTTGAGTTGTGATTAATTCTTAGATACCTTATTGGTGTCCAAGAAGTGTTTGATGTTGTATAGGAGGCCCTGCCAATACATATGTTGGAATTAGATCCAAGAACCTAAAACGAGTTCCCCTCCAGTGTGCTCTACCCCTA